TCAGATATCTAGAAATTGCTAATGATGTAGATAACAACTCAAAAGCAAATACTTCTCAGCACATTCTAAGGCACAAAGCTTGTTCAAGATATTTAAAGAAAAAGCAGGACCAGACTATAATTCACACAGCATCCAAATCACATAATGTCCTATTTCACAGAATGTATCATGTATGTTAAGCAACACATGACTGTATTGGATCGTGTGCTGTGTGTCGAGCACTATGTAGAAGATAAAGTATAGGACAAAGTTCCCACCCACACCTTAGCTTGTTGGGTCGATAAAAGGTTACTGGTGAAGCAGCCACCCAAGGTACAACAGTTGATCTATATTCACTTGTAGCGAGAGAAAAAAGGAGAAACAGGAATAGGAGGAAGAAATAGAATGTGTGGCTAACTGCCTCCATGAACAACTCTCTCCTTTACCATGAGACCAGAAGAACTGGATGGTGCCCAGCTACCATTACTGAAAATTTTAATCAAAGATTCTATAGAAGAATCCTGCTCAAAAGGGGAAAATGCAGAGGAGAAGTTCAAATTCTTGTGGACTCCAGACTTTCTGGAGCCATTGAGGCTTGATGAACCCCCAAAACTATTGCTTTGAGATAATCTTTCAACCTTAAACTGAAAATATCCCCTGGAATCTTCTTTAAACCAAACAGTTTAGCTTCACTAGTGAACAATGTCTGCCTCAGGCACTGTGCTCCTTTAAAGAATTATTTACCTGGGGTCCAATTGACAACAGCAACTGTCAAGGTTAGAAAGGAAGCTTAAGGGGCAGGAAATTGATGTTAATGGGGAGGAACAATTCAGAAAAGGAAGGTGAGAATGGGTGCACAGCTTGAAGAATACAATCAGTGTCACTGAATTATACACTTAAAAATTGTTCAATTGGTGTCTTTCGCTGTGTATATTTTCAACAACAAATGTCAATTTTTCTTTTTTTTTAAAAAAAAGGATCGTTGGTGACGCAAAGCAGGTATATAATCGATATTGTGGTGTGCCTCTGGGACCACCCAAATGAGTGTTCATGCAGAGAGGCCACAAGCCAGGGGCCAGCTGCTCAAGCCTGTCCTTTTGAAACTGTCAGCTCAGTCTGGAGCTTACACAGCCTAGGATGTTCCAGAGCTGCCTGGAGTGTGGCCTGTGAACTGACCTGCATCCCTTTCTCAGTGCACTTACCTGCCCCCCCCCATAGGCCATCTCTAAGGGTGGAACACCAATCTGCCCTGCAGTCCTCAGAAAACAGAAATTCAGCAGCAGAGACATTTTTTAAAAACACTGAGTGAATTAAGTCAGTGTTGTCCTTTAAGGATAATCCTTAACCATTTTTCAATACCTGTTGGATTTGTTTTCAAATATCCAGTTGCCTCCATCGTGGAGCCTTTTGTGGTAAGAAGGAAACTTAGATTGGCTAAGGACATACTCTATGCCAGGCACTGTGCCAGGTGACAAACTTTGCAGTGGAGGGCCATTCCCGAAAGCCACCTGGAGTTGCAGCTTGCTTCATTTATTCCACACACATCTACTGATCACACACTCTGTGAATGGAATAGATGCCAGACAAACATGGTCCCTTCCCATGGGCACTTAGAGCCAATTGTAATTGGCTGCTGTTTCTGTGTTAGCACCCATCACACCAGCAAGCAAGTGCAGGTTGCTATGGACTTATGAAGCAGAACTCCTCACTTGGTGGGAGTGGAGGTGATGTGAGGGAAGGTGCCCATGGGCGACTTTCCAGGCTTTGCTTCTGCACCCATACTGTTGTGTCCCCTGCTCCTGCAAGAAGAGCCTCAGAGAGAAGGTGGCTTCCTGCCACCTGAACACTCCCACTGACCCCACAACTGATTTAGTCCTTGCAAACCACCTGCTTTAGTATGAAACTCTCAGTCCCCAATATAGTAAATTTCCTACCTTTAAAAACTGCTTATTGTTCCTGCCCCCATCCAAATCCATTTTTCTTGAGTACATATCACCTCATCAAAGTATGAGGAGAATAACTTTCACTAGAGTGTGAATGTCTAACAGGTTTCACTTTCCATACTGCATGTGTACTTTAGAAAAGGAGCTCAGTAATAAATAGTAATTTTTAATTGTAGATTTTTGAGCAGTTGCTTTCTTAAGTGTTGTTTGCCTATTACAGAACTTGAACTCAAGAGGCACTTTTCAGTCTTAACCATCTAGCTTCCCTACTCCAGGCCTTTACAAATGAGAACAGCGGTCATTGACTAAGCTACCACATTCTTGTTTTCTCTGAGATAGCTGGAGTACTTTGGGGAAAATTCTAGAACCTATTCTAGCCCTAGTTCTAGCTGTTGGCTTTGTTTGAGTCTGCATTCCTTTCTGTAAAATGAAGCTCATGAGATTTTAGTGATAAACCAAAACCAAACGCACTGCCATCGAGTTGGATCTGACTCATAGCAACCTCTCCTTGGGTTTCCGAGGCAGTATCTCTACCGAAGTAGATTACCCGACCTTCCTTCCAAGGAGTGGCTGGTGGGTTTGAACCACCAGACTTCCGGTTAGCAGTCAAATGCATTAGGCACTATGCCACCGGAAATGCTGCACAAATACAAGGTGTCCCCACACTGCCAGGAATCCAATATCCTGTCCTTAGGAAGGGGTTTGGAAGCAGACTTCCTTGTCTGGCAAACTTTGACCTAAACCAAATATACTTAATTTTATTATCTTAAGCAGGTATCTTCTGACAGCAGTAGAGGCAGTTTCATTTTAAATGGGCTGTTTGGCCTGATTTTGTTGAACTCCTAGGATGTCAGGTGGGCAGGAAGTCTCAGTGATTTCTCTTCATGTTTAGAGAGGTGTTCAGAATTCACAGTATATACTTGTTTTAATAATGACTACCAAAGCATCCTCCTTTAGCTGAGTTTTCTAAACTTTGGAAACTACTAATTTTGGAAGTGAATGAAGGCCAGGGACACTTGGAGGGCAGTCAGAGGCTCCTTGCTCTCTGTGGCCACAGCAGCTGGGCTCAGGGTAGGCTGACTTGATGGCACTTCCTGTGCTGTATCACGAGGACATCCTCCTCCTGAGTGGGACCCAATCTGCTGACCACCCCCACCCTCAGACAAGGGGCAGGGGGCAGGTGGGCATGTGCCTTGGTGGACAGCTCACGTTGAAGAATATAGACAGGAAAAACAGATGAGAATTATTGTGAGCTGGGGTGGGGCGGGGGGACGGACTTTTACAACTTCAGCCCCAAATGTGGCATAGTGCCTAAGGCATTTGCCTGCTAACCAGAAGGCTAGAGGTTCAAACCCACCAGCCACTCCTCAGAAGGAAGATTGGGCAATCTACTTCTGTAGTGATACCACCTCAGAAACCCAAGGAGGGGTTGCTATGAGTCGAATTGACTGAACAGCAATGAGTTTGGTTTTTTTTTTGGTTAAGGGAAACTTAATTTTTAAAGAACTGAGCTACCTTCCTGACCCAGATTCTATATTGAGAAAGATGGACTGAAAGGGACTTTGGATCCAAATGAATCAGAATTTGAATCCCAACTCTGAAACTTTGTTTTAGACCTTGGCAACATTATTTAACTGCTGGGCATCTCTTTGGAAAATAGGGTTATTACTGTCTAGTTGGGTTGTTTGTAAGGACTTGAAACATTTTACAGAGGGTAGCCCTCCTAGCCTTACAGGAGAGAGAAAGCCAAGGAGAATTTTCAGAGGTAGAAATAAAAAGACAGAAAGAAGAGCATACCCAAGAGCTGCCAACCTGGGGCTGCCTTGTACACAAGTGGTCAGTTACAGATCTGGGACTGTCGCTGTTTCTTTGTGCCCTGCTGTGCTCAACCCAGCTTCCGCCTGATTATCAACACCCAGAGGGGTTGGCAGGGCAGCACTAATTTATCTTGAGATCACTGGGGCTTCCTCTCACCTGCCAGGTTTTGTCTCCTGATACCTGTTCTGTGTTTCTCCTCTCTTTCCTCCTGGGACAGGACAGTAGCTGCAATCCTGAACAATGGAAAAAAAGCTGGAATGAGCTTTTTCTCTAAACATTTTATTGTGAAAATTTGCAAGCAGACACAAAAGTTGAAAGCATTATGTGGCGAACATCTATATAGTCACCACCTACATTCTGCAATTAATATTTTGCTATATTGGTTTATAGCTTCAATGACTGGTGCATTTCAAAGTCAATTGCAGACATCACAACACTTATGGGGTCTCTTTTTGAAGTGATGATTTGAAGGGTGATCTAAGTTCCTGGGAGTGCCTGAAGCTGTTTATCTTGGTGGCATGATAGGCCTTAAAAGCCAGACCTTGCCCTGCCCATGTAATGTCCCTGCTGCTGTTCAGCACATGCCCTAGAGCTGAAGGGGCCCTCAGGGTCCTGTCCTCAAGAGTGACCCACATGACAAGTAACTAAACACACAAAATACAGAATCATTGTATATATACTGTTTGATACTTTGTTGTGCGTTTTTGTTTTGTCATCTAATATATCCTTTACCACTTCACCATGTTAAATTTTTTCCAAAAATCTGGCTGTTAGGGTCTATATCATACTGTTTTCCGAGGTAGTAAATCTTTATAGAAGTAGATTGCTTAGGCTTCCTTCTGTGAAGTGGCTGGAGGGTTTGAACCACCAACCTTCTGGTTAGTAGTCAAATGCCTTAGGTACTACACCAGCAGAGCTGCTTAGTTTGGTTTGGTTTCTATATCATACTACAGAAACAACTACTGTAATAGTACAGATAAATATCATAAATATAATGCTGATCAAAAGAACCTAGGCACAAAAAATGATCTGTGATGATCATGTTTTCTGTGTATATAAGTGAATAATTATTTAATTCTGTTGTGTGATCACAGTAATATCTCTAACTGGCTCTGAGAATCATCGCATTTACTCACATCTGCTTTTGGGCTGTAGGTATACATTGGCTGGTAATAAAGCATTATGTTCCCTAAGGCCCCATGAATGCTGTGCCCACAGTGCTAGAGGTATTATCCTAATGTGGTATTCTTTCTTCCACAGAGCCAAGATGGCTGTCCTCTCTAAGGAATATGGTTTTGTGGTTCTGACTGGTGCCGCCAGCTTCATAATGGTAGCTCATCTAGCCATCAATGTTGCTAAAGCCCGCAAGAAGTACAAGGTGGAGGTAAGTGGGCAGCCGGTGCCTTTATAGGCTTGTCTGGGGTCATGGGCTTATTCAAGAACATGGTTTCAGTCATTGAGGGACAGCTGAGGAGCTAGTTGTCAGCATCTTTAATGTCTAGGCAGTTTCAGAGCTGGACCTGTTAGAAATTCTGTCCTTGTTTGTCAGGAAAGAGGCAAGAGAAATGGGGCTCTGTAGGGGGACAGTTCTGAGGCACCTCTAGGTGGATTTGAGCCTCCAGCCTTTCAGTTAGTAGTTGAACACTGAACCGTTTGTACCACCCAAGGACTTCTATAGAAAGGCAGAGTATGCTGGGATCAGAAGAGTGTGCCTTTTGGCTGGAGCTATCTGCTAAGAAGAGTGATATTTTCTGAAGAGCGTTAAGTAGCAACACAGTCTCCTGGTGTACAACTCAAAAAGTGGTTTCTTAAGTTGGTTTTCCTGTTTTCCAAGTAGAGAAGAAATATGTGGTGCTGAGGTTTAGCTTGGGCTTGGATGTGAGACACAGGGAAAAGGTCTATTAATGCTTCCTTTAGTCCTAGTAACTCCATTCTTGTTAGGTGCTATCGAGTTGCTTCTGACTCTTAGCAACCCTGTGTACAACAAAATAGCACCGCCCGTCCTGTGCCATCCTCACAGTCCTTGCTTGAGCCCTTCATAGCAGCCACTGCGTCAGTCCATCTTGTGGAGGGACTTCCCCTCTTTGGCTGACCTTTTGCTTTAGCAAGCATGATGTCCTTCACCAGGGACTGGTCCCTTCTGACAACATGATCAAAGTACGAGAGACAAAGTCCGGCCATACTTGCTTCTAAGGAATATACCAGTTGTACTTCCTCCAAGAAAGATCTGTTTGTTCTTCTAGCAGTCCATGGTACATTCAGTATTCTTCACCAGCACTGCAATTCAAATGCATCAATTCCTCTGCAGTCTTCCTTATTCATTGTTCAGACCCCACATGCATATGCAGTTATTGGAAATACCATGACTTGGGGTAGGCGAACCATATAGTCTTTCACATGATATATTTGCTCTTTAACACTTTAAAGAGATCTTTTGCAGCAGATTTGCCCAATGCGATACATCGATTGATTTCTTGACTGGCGCTTCCAGGGGTGCTGACTGTGAATCTAAGTAAAACAAAATCTTTGACAGGTTTAATCTTTTCTCCATTTATCATGATGTTGCTTATTGGTCCAGTTTTGAGGATTTTTGTTTTCTTTATGTTGAGATATAATCCATACTGAAGGTTGTAGACTGCAGAAGTTGGTAAAAATCTTCAATTTCTTCATCTTTGGCTTTAGTGGTTGGTGTATAAATTTGAATATTACTCATATTTGTCAGTCTTCCTTGTAGGCATATAGAAATTATCCTATCACTGACAGCCATGTAATTCAGCATAGATCTTGAAATGTTCTTTTTGACGATAAATGCAACACTAGTCCATTTTAGCTCACTAATGCCTAGGATATCGACCTTTATATGTTCCATTTCATTTTTACAACTTCCAGTTTTCTTAGATTCATACTTTGTACATTCCCCATTCTGATTATTAATGGATGTTTGCAGCTGTTTCTTCTCATTTTGAGTCATGCCGCATCATCAATTAAAGGTCCCAAAATCTTTACTCCATCCGTATCATTGAGGTTGACTCTACTTTGAGAAGACAGCACTTCCCTAGTTGTTATTTTGTGTGACTTTCAACCTGAGGGCCTTATCTACTGGCACTGTATCAGACAATGTTTCCTGCTGTTCATAAGGTTTTCAGTGGCTAGTTCTTTCAGAAGTGGACCTGGCCATGTCTTTCTTCCTAGTCTATCTTAGTCTAGAAGCTCCATTGAAACCTGTCTACTGTGGGTGCCCCTGCTGGTATTTGAAATACTGGTGGCAAAGCTTCCAGTATCACAGCCACACACAAGCAACCACAGTACAACAGATTGGCAGACGAGTGGTGGCTGACTACTGTAGAAGGGGTAATTACTGATGTTGTCTCTGGTGAGCAATTTTAAATGTCTCTTTCTCTTTAGCAATTTATAATTAGACTCCCTAACTAGGGCCTCTTTTTTATTTTTTAATGAGCACTTACATTAAAATTCTCATACACTTAATTTCTCTTTTCCCATTAAGAGAACGCTTACAAATATGTGTTTGATGACTCGGGATGGAGCTATTTCCCTATGCATCTGAAATGCACGATTGGTGGCATAACATCAATGAACTGCCTTGAGTTTGGCACAGGCTGCCTCTGTTCTTTCCACAGATAACTGCGAAGACATACATTCTTACTCCATGACCACCACCACCACCACTTGTCATCGAGTCCATTGTGACTCATGGTGACCCCATGTTTCCCAGAGTAAAACTGTGCTCCATGGGGTTTTCAGTGGCTGATTTTTGGGATATAGAGTGCCATGCCTTTATTCCAAGGTGCCTCTGGTGGACTTGAACCCCCAGCCTTTCAGTTAACAACAGTCTTAAACCCAGTGCCATCAAGTTGATTCCAACACATAGTGACCCCCATTGGGTTTCCAAGATGGTACATCTTTACAGAAGTAAATTGCCCCATCTTCCTTCTGCAGAGCAATTGGTGGGTTTGAACAGCCAGCCTCCTGGTTAGCAGTCAAATGCCTTAGGCACTATGCCACCAGAGCTCCTTTTAACAACATTCTTACTACTGGATATTTAATAGAAACAGAACAAATCTTCCTCTGAGTATTGAGACCCTTGTCACTGTAAATATTAAGAAATTGAATGATCATCTAGCAGTGATACAACAGAAGATGCTTTGGAGTAGATTATCTTTAAGGTTGATTCTAACTCTCAATGCTGAATGTTTCTCCTTGACCATTTGGACTAACGATATGCACTTGTTTTTAACAGTATCCTACAATGTACAGTACAGACCCAGAAAATGGGCACCTCTTCAACTGCATTCAGCGAGCCCACCAGAACACGTGAGTATTGGCCATGCTGGGCACCAAAGACATCTGCAGAGTGGGTGTTTTGTGAGCACTGTGTCCTGGCCAACACCTCAGGGTTTGTGCTGTGTATGTGCTGAGTGATAGCAATGATAACAGTCATGAGTACTTTATTAAAACTATAATAAAAAATTACATTCATAAGTAGATTTTAATTAAGATTTTTTTAAAGCAAAAATAAGTTATCAAAATGATGGGATTTGAGAAACTCAATAAGGACCAGAATTACTGGTCAGAGGAAGTCTGATGAGACCCCCAGTACTATGGCCCTGGAATACATTCTACACCCAGAGTAAAACTCACCCCCACGGGCTGGCTCTCAACCCAGTAGTTAAATTGTACACGCAGACCACTCAACCCTGGATGGCGCACCCACATACTCTATGGTAATACATTCCTTAGAGCAATAGACCACGGGGCACCAGAGGACCAACATTCAGGTTGAGGAAATGCAGGACAAACAGGAGTGCATAAATATGAGGGGCACAGGGGGAGGGTTACAGGGTAGGGACAGAGGAGACTGGGTTAGGGTTGGACATGGTAAATGAGGAGTGAAACTTAATGCACATGTTGAATGTAAAACAAGCTCTTAAAATAATTTTTTTAAAAAATGATGGGATTTGGGGTCATCTTTTTAAAAATGCCTTTAATGTTGCATTGCCCTTCATATTTGCAGCATGTCATCTTTAAACTGATGTGCAGTCTTCCAGCCCCAGGGAGTATAGACACTTTGAGACCTTTAAGGAAACCCACTCTAATTTGCCAAGAGCTTCCTCCTCATTTGTTAGAGACACGGTTCCTTCACTTAGTACTTTCTGAGTTCCCTCTAATTCTGTACAGCAAACGATGGTTGGTGGAGCTTCGTGAACTGGTCTTCACTCTCCAATCAATGTTTATTTTACTATTGAGCTATTACTTGGCAAATGAAAATGTAAAGGCTCTTAGTTTTGTAACCCTAACAATTCCCATCGTGTTGATTCCAATTCACAGTAACTCCACTGTGTCAGACTAGAGCTGTGTGCTGAGTGGAGTTTTCAATGACTTGATTTCTAGAAGTAGATTGCCAGGCCTTTCTTCCAAGGTGCCTGTAGACTTGAACCACCTTTTGGTTAGCAGCCAAGTACATTCACTGTCAGTATTAATTCTGAATATTAAAGCCTGACCTGTTGCCATGGAATTGATTCTAACTCATAGCAACCCTACAAGACAGAATAGAATTACCCTACAGTGTTTCCAAGGCTGTACTATTTATGGAAGCAGACTGTCATGTCTTTCTTCTATGGAGTAGTTGCTGGGTTCAAACCACCAACCTTTTGCTTAGCAGCTGAGTGATTTAAACCAATGTGACACCAGGGTTTCTCTTAGTTCTACATAGGCATTCTTAAATGGGGCATTTTTTTGAAAAAGTTTCTTTCTGTCAATTCTAGGTTGGAAGTGTATCCTCCCTTCTTGTTTTTTCTTGCTGTTGGAGGTGTTTACCACCCGGTAAGTTTTTCCTCTGGGTTTTCATCTATTTGACTTTAGTTCATTGAGCTACTATGAGGAAGGAAATAAACATTTAAGGATTATCTTTAATGGCTAGGCATCACGTATTTAACAGGATTTCATTCAGTTACATCTTACAAAGTTCTCTAATGTAGGTAGAACTTTCCCCATTTTACAAGTAAGAAAAAGCCTCTTAGATATTCTGTAACTTATAGAAGATCAAATAGCTTTAGAGTAGAAGAATCCAAGTTTGAAACCAGGTCTGTCTAATCCCAGAATGTTCATGTCTATGAGTTTTCATTTGCCATATTCATTCATTCATTCATTTACTTATCACCTGGGTTTATAGTAGTGAACAAAACAAAGACACCTGATTTTCATGGAACTTGCCTTTTAGTTAGGGGGCATAGATAAAAATCAGCATAAGCAAATGATGTTAAAAGGTGGTTAAGTGCCACAGAGGGAAACAGAACAGGGAAAAGAGATCAGGGAGCACTGTGGTGAGGAGACAGTTTCGAATAGTGTGGTCAGGAAGAGGAGGTGGCAATTAAGCAAAATTTAAAGAAGGTAAGGAAGCAGGTGCTGTGGATTTATGCAGGCATCTTCCAGGCAGGAAAAAAGGACAAAGGACCTGAGGCAGGAGCTTGTCTGCCTGTTTCAAACAGTGAAAAGCCCAGCTTGGCCTCAGTGGAGTGAGGGAGTGAAGAGCAGGAGGTGAGGGCAGAGTGGTGATGGGGCCGATCACAGGGACATGTGGGCCATAGATTTGGTCTGCATTTAAATGTATCTAAATAAGGCACATTTATATAAGCTAGGTTGCTTTCCACTGCGGTCTTGCCTTGGTCAGAGAGCCTTCCCTTTTCAGGAGCCAGGTTACCTCCCTAACTGACCAGAGTGCTGGCACTTCAAGTCCGCTTCCAAGCCTTTTATATCCCTCTGGTCTGCACATGAATGGCTTGTGCTTTTGTGATATGATACAGATCAGCACATATGACCTTCAAATTCTGAATCTTTTCAAGGAAATATGCATCAGCTGCTCTTGTAGAAGACAGCTCTTTCTGGTGCCTCTAAAGAGCCCCACTGCTAGCTAATGACTAGTACCCCAGATGGTCCAAATAGCCTGGGTCTCTTTAAACTAGGCATCACCTGATGGCCACCCCACCCCGACGCCTATCCCCTTTCCACAGGTCACATTCCTCCTGCTTAGTTCTTAAAACTACTTTAAAAACTAATCTGAGGACAAGTACCTAACAATTATTCCTAGGGTGATAGCAATTATGCAATGTTATAGTAAGGAAGTCTGGCAGAGACTGCAGTTTGTAAATAATGACTTATGGGACTGGGGTTTTTACTTTCAGTTATTTCATGCTCCTACTGATACTTAATTGTACCCAAAATCAACTAACCACCGCTGATAGCACTACTAAATTGGAAAGGCATTTGGGGAAGGTGACACACGATGTTTCACGTTCTCTTGCACCCTTCTCCCTTACTCTTTTTGACAACATGTGTAGCCCAAGATTGCGCCTAAATGGGAGGTTTCTTCATTTTGCATGTTTCTGCTCTGTCTTCTCAAGGGTGCTGGGAACAGGGAAACTTCTCCTGCTGAGGCTGCACATTCCTAGGTTCACAGCATGATACAGTCTCTCAGCCATTTCTAAGGGAGCCTACACCTACCTGTGTACATGCTACAGCACAGCCACTTCAAGCCCATTCCAGCAGTGTCTTCATTGGAGATAATGCAACAGACAGCAGCTCGGATGGCAGTATATCTCATGTTTGGGGCCTCTTTGAACCGCCAGGGCTTTCTTCTGGTGTTGAGTGTTGGTCAGTTTCCTCAGCTGGCTTCCCTGTCGGCCCCAGGCTGGCCTCTCCATTTGCGCTTGAGTGCTTTGTGTTCCCCTGGACAAGCTGGAGTTTCCTTCCAACCCACCCTTTACAAGACCAGTACTCAGCTCCTCCCATGCCCGTGAGTGGTTCACGGAAGATTTACAGATCTTTGTTTTTCCCGACTGGAACAAGTCACTTCATTCTACCTTAACTTCAGTGGGGAATATTTTACCATATCCATGAAATTACTAACTTTTTATTAAAACATTGTGTAACCAACTCTAGGTGTTAATAAAAGGTTGCCTGTTTCTTTAATGCAGATCCTAACATAGCCCTTTTATTTTAGCGTATAGTTTCTGGCTTGGGCTTGGCTTGGATTGTTGGACGAGTTCTTTATGCTTATGGGTATTACACAGGAGGTAAGTACCCACTGACATCTGCCAAGGAAACACATTTAAAATCTTTTACTACTGTATTTTTGTTGTTGTTTTAAGCAGGGCTTTAAGGAAGGGGGAAAATAAAGTAGCTTCATATTTAAGTGAAATGCCTTTTTTTTTTTTTTTTCCTTTTTTTATTCCTGTGAATAGAAATTTTTATTGAGCATTGTGCGACAATTGCTGTTCTAAAAACTTTGCGTTGTTGTTATGTACTGTCGAGTTGGACCCAACTCATAGCGACTCCTCCTTGGGTTTCCGAGGCAGTATCACTACGGAAGTAGATTGCCCAACCTTCCCTCTGAGGAGTGGCTGGTGGGTTTGAACCGCCAACCTTCTGGTTAGCAGTCAGGTGCCTTAGGCACTACGCTACCAGAGCTCCTAAAACTTTGCATATGCTCCTAATAATATTTTTAATCTTGCAATTCTACAACAGATAATATTATCCCACTTTATAGGTGAGGAAACTGAGGCTTAGAAGGATTAAGGCTCAAGGGCACAGCCACTAATGACTCAGAGCCATTGCTCCTAACCACTACTATGTTGTTGTTACGAGTTGCCCTCGAGTCATTTCTGACTCTTGGTGACTCCGTGTGTATAGAGTAGGATTTTCAAGGCTGTGACCTTTTGGAAGCAGATTGTCAGAACTATCTTCTGAGGATCCTCTGGGTGGATTTAGACTTCCAACCTTTGAGCTAGTAGTCGAGCGTTTAACTGATTGTGCCTCCCAGAGACTTACTGCCAAGTGTATGCCAGAGAGAAGGGGACAATATTTTTTTGGCTGTAGACTCTTCACTGGAGAGAAAGGTTAACACTCCCTTCCAAAGGGTCCTAGAACAAAGTTGCTCTAATTATCATCTCTTAATTTTCTAAGGTCCAGCAAAACTGTTGTGACAAATTACTTTGCATGCAATTCTTGACATATAGATGGATAGCTTTAGGTTAGAGTTGATTAACTTCTTCACATCAGATATTGAATGTCAGGTACCCTGATAGAGTGCTTTTGGGTGTTGAGAACGTCATAATTCTAGAGCATCCCGGGTGACTTCTGCCTTTTCTCCTTTTTTCAGAACCCAGCAAGCGAAATAGAGGAGCCGTGGGGTCCATCGCCCTCATTGCCTTGATGGGCACAACCGTGTGCTCTGCTTTCCAGCATCTCGGTTGGGTTAAAACTGGCTTGGGCGGTGGGTCCAAATGCTGCCATTAAAGAATCATAGGGGTTTAAAAACTCCCATTCATTTTGAATGTCATACCTTAATTTCCAGTTTTGTCTTTTTTTTTTCCCCCCCTAAATATAATAAAACCTATCTGGCATCAGCCTCATACCTAAACTTCCTGAATATGTAACTCTTTTTTTCTTGAGTCTCTATCTAAAATAAGTGGCCTGTCCCTACTAGATAAGAGAGAAGACACAGGTATTGAGTATTCCTCATTCTGCCAAATGCTTAGTATGTGAAGTTGAGAAAAAGTCTTTTAATTGTGGTAGTATTTTCAGAGTCATGCCATAATGCCAAAAAACCCAACCACTGCTGTGGAGTCAGATCTGAGTCAGGGACCCCTCCTTGGGCTTCTGAGGCAGTATGACTATGGAAGTAGATTGCCCAACCTCCCTTCCAAGGAGTGGCCAGTGGGTTTGAACCACCAGCCTTCTAGTTAGCAGTCAGATGCCTTAGGCACTACACCACCAGAGCTCCTAGTCATGCCATAGTGGTAAGAAATTGGGATTCAAAGAAGGAAAGTCTTTAAGTTGTAATAATTATATTGTTGTTGTTGTTGTTGTTATGTGCCGTCGAGTCGGCCCTGACTCATAGCGACCCCTCCCTTGCGTTTCCAAGGCAGTATCACTACGGAAGTAGGATTGCCCAACTTTAGGATTATGTTATCATTTGCTACTAATACTTAGGATAATAGTATGGCGTTTTTTTAAAATGTAACAACTAGGGATGAATGTATCTTCCTAAATTTGGATACAAAGACAAAACTGCATAGGATGGAGAAAGGTGTCCTTAGCAACAAATGTGAGAGACTTAGGCTTGGAGAACAATGCAAGTTGGCATATGAGAGAGCGTCCTCCTAATGTGGCCATAAACTATGTTAAAGAAGGACAGTGTCTAGATCTGTGTGGTCCAGTATGGTAGCCATTAGCTACATATAGTTCTTGAAGTATGAATTAACTAAATTTAAATTAAAAAATCAGTTCTTCAATCACACAGTAATCATATTTGAAGTGCTCAGTGGCCTATAAGGATTAGAGATGATAGGATTTGAACCAAATTATACTCTCAAATTCAGGCTTTTCCCATTCTGCCACACAAAGGGAGATGAGGCATTTACAGACAGATGCTATGCTCTGCCACTGAAGGGGGACAACCTTGGCTGATAACCACCTGGGCCTCAGGCATCTGATGAGAAAATCAGACTAGATCCGTGTACACTCCAGTGTGTGTCCATAAGCAATTTTGCTAAATTTTAATTTTAAATGTGAAAAATGAGGACTTTTTCATAAAGCTCTAACTTCTTTTTCACATTAAATGTCCTTTTATGAAATGATGGTGATAATGGATGGTAGGTTTTTTGTTTTATTTTGTTTCCATTTTGGTCCTGACTTGAAAGAAAATAATTTAAAATTGTACTTGGCTAGTTTTTTGAGTTTTAGTCATTTTGTTTTGGGGAAGAGTTGTTTTATTAGTATTTTTTATATATAAGAAATGCACCTAAAGGGACTGGAGAGCTTATCAGGGTTTCCTGTCTCATTGTACAGATTATAGGCATCCATGAAGCAAGGCAGAGAAGACTTGGAGACAAAGTTGGGATTTTTTGTTTGTTTGTTTGAAGTCTTACAGGATATATACTTTTCAAAGTAAAATGATCTTTGGCATTTTGCTACTATAGAATGGGCTCAAATGAAATCTTATAAGGAAACCCCAGTACATAAAATGTTCCATGGTTGAAGTGGGAGTCCCAGAATTGAGCTTTTTCAATTTCCAAGTTTCCTACTTAACAGCACCCTCCAGGGAACGCTGGAGCTAGGCAGAATGCAGTTTGAAGGTGCTGCTATAGAGAATAAGCCTGTCAGACAAGTTAGAATTTCTGTTAAATTCCTTTGTCCAGTGGAGAAGATATCGGCACAAGTACTGCCACCATTAAATCCTAATTCGTTGTTGTTGTTGTTATGTGCCGTCGAGTTGGTCCCGACTCATAGCGACCCCTCCTTGGGTTTCCGAGGCAGTATCACTACGGATAGTAGGATTGCCCAACCTTCCTTCCGAGGAGTGGCTGGTGGGTTTGAATCGCCAGCCGTCTGGTTAGCAGGCAAGTGTCTTAGCCACTATGCTACCAGAGCTCCCAATTGGCAGTGTGCATTTCAAAGGGAAACACATTCTAAATTTTGTTATGGATGGGAATTAGAAAACCATACCTGGCCTATGAAATTCTAATTTATCAATACTATACCTTAAGTGTCCCCAACTACTGGTAGTTTTGTGCCCTTGGCCAAGTTTATTATCCCCCTTTACACCCAATTTACCCAGCTTTAAGCTGGGGGTGATGATACTTACCCTGCATGATCATGCATGTGCAGTGTGAGCATGGTGCTTCCACGGCTGTGGCCAAAGGCTGGGCTCAGGTTCCGGTACAAGGTGTGCTGGGAAGAACTGAAGTCACATGCTGGTGTAACTTCAGAAGCACTACTTGATCAAAAGTCAGTAACCATGTTACCTAATTGGTTCTAAGGAACTCCTGCTTCCCTTTTCATCCCAAATAGCACTTGCCTCCAACAAACATCTCCCTCCTTAACTATTGAAAACTGAGCCGTCTCGGTTCCTTACCTCTTTAGCAGCACTGTCCAACAGAACTATCTGCCATGATAGAAATGTTCTATACCTACACTGCCCAATACAGTAACCACTGCCCGTGTGTAACTATTAAGTACTTGAAATGCGGCAAAACTCACAAGCTAAATTTATTATTTAAATTTCAATAGCCACGGACAGCCCATGGCTACTTTATTAGGATAGCACAGCTCTAAAGCAGTAGTTCTCAATCTTGGCTGCCCATGAAATTCACCTGGGGAACTTTTAAGACTCCAGATAACCAGCCAAAACCACAGGGGAATTAAACTTTCAGTATTTAAAAACAGTCATTCTAAGCAGCCAAAGCTGAGAATCATTGCTCTAAAGCAGTGCTTGGTAAATGACCACTCATGTGAATCACCTGGGGGTCTCTGTAGTTAAAATGCAGCTTCAGATTCATAGGTCTGGGGGGCACCTAAGAGTCTCATGAGCTTTTGCTGTTGGTCCCTGGACCACTCTTTGCCCTTCTAATCCATTCATTTATTTAGTCAAACATGCATTTACTATGACCCCAGTTACTGCCTTGAGAGTTTCCATTCTAGTTGGGGAAGACAACTTCAGATATTGGTAAATGCTTTGAAGTAAAGAAAACAGTGTAGTGGGGTAAAGTATGTGTAGCTACATTAGCTTTGTTCTTAGTTTCCATCAATTCTAACTCATGGCGATTCCAAGTGTGCAGATTAGAACTAAGCTCCATAGGGTTTTCAAGGCTGTGATCTTTAGGAAGCAGGTGGCCAGGCCTGTCTCCGGAGGTGCCTCTGAGTAGGTTTGAACTGCCAGCCTTTTGGTTACTAGTCAAGTGCTTCACCATTTGCACCACCCAGGGACTCCACTTTAGCTTTAAGGAGGTAATTTTTCATTTTTGGCTTTAAGGAGCCTATGATATGAAAATCTGGGGGAAGCATATTCCAAGAAGAGGGAACAGTAAGGGTAAGGTCCCTGAGGCAGGGACAAGCTGGCAGAGTTATGAATAGGGAGAGTGGTACAAAATGAAATCAGAACACTGATGCCCACATGAGGAGTTTACATTTCATTCTATCTGCTATTAAAAGCCAAAGGAAGGTTTAAAGCAAGAGCATGATGTAATCGTATTTACATTAACAAGATCACACTGCTGATTTTTTGATACTTCTTGTAGCATCAGTGAGAAACTGTTAGGGCTTCTCCTTTATCCCCTTTGTGACATTTTCCCACTCAAACCCTGAAAAGACAAAGACAGGTCTAGGTCTGCAAGTGTTTAAAAAAAAAAAGATTCATTTTTATTGCAGAAGAAAGCCAAATTCACACCAACCTATCCATTTCAGAGGAGCAAGGGTGGAGACTCTGATGTTGTAAAAAGCAGGAAGTAACTCAGGGATTCTCCCATGTCTCTGAAAGTCTTTGATGGATGGTCTCAGTAAATTTTACCTTCCATTCATCAGATTCCTGCCTGCTACAGGGTTCCTGAGGCAGGAAAAGGATCTCTGTGGCAAGAAATAAAGCAGCAGCAAAGAAGACAGGGGTCCAGTGGCTTCCTTTTGTATCGAAAGACCTGTCCAAACCTGGGATTGCTTCTATACTGGGTACACATAAAAGGATGTGAATTGGACCCTTAAAACAGGCAAGTAGAGATGCGAGGAGCCTTGGTAGTGCAGTGGTTAAGCACTCTGCTGCTAACCAAACCCACCAGTTGCTCCATGGGAGAAAGATGTAGCAGTCTGCTTCTGTAAAGATTTACAGCCCTGGAAACCCAGTGAGGCAGTTTGACTCTGTCCTATAGGGGCACTGAATTGGAACAGACTCCATAGCAATGGGTTGTGGAGACAGGGAGGTACCAGGACACTGGGTGCTCTAGTTGTTATCCCATTTCTGAAGTCAGATCTACCCTTTTTACTCAGCCCGAAGAAGCCCTAACTGCTGGTTTATACGTGGCTTCATTAGGAACCAGGAAATCCTAGGAAACACACAGTCAGATTTTAACAGACTCACAGAAGAATTTAGCTAGATGGTACCACACCACTTCTTCCAAATCAGAAGGCCTGGCCTTTTCGTTAAGTCAATATTTCCCAAAGTGTGTTTTGTAGACATTACTCTCATAAAAAGAGTCAGTAACAAACAAAAAGCATTCTTTGATCAGGTAACTTTCTAAAATACAATAGCTAATGACATCCTGGAACACTTTTGGACCATGCTGGCTTAGGTTCCAGAATGAGGGAAAGTTTGAAAAAAAGCACAGGCTTTGGGGTCCCACACTCCTGGGTTTGAATCCTATTCAACTTAACTGACTTGAGGACCAAGACTTCTCTCAGTCTCCCTGTCTGGTTTCTTCCTCTGAAAAGCAGGAAGAGTACTACTCTCTTTAGGCCAACTGTGAGTACCGCATGAAAAAGGATGCAGCAGCAGAGACGCGAGCACACCAGTGTGGGTTCCCTTCCTGTCTTCTCATTAGAGGCTGCCAGCAACTTGTCTTCTCCCAGGCAACTCCTACTGTTTAAGTTGCACAAGGATCCCTAAGGCATGGGGTGAGAGAATTCTGTTGGCCTTGCTGGGTATCCCGTATGTGTCCTCTGCAAATACACCCAAGAAAGATCATGAGAAACAATTTTTCATACTCTAAACCAACATACGCAGGCACTAACAACAATGATCTCTTAACTCTGACTTAAACTTAAACTAAACTGTTGTTGTTATGTGCCGTCAAGTCGGACCCGACTCATAGCGACCCCTCCTTGGGTTTCCGAGGCAGTATCACTACGGAAGTAGATTGCCCCATCTTCCTTCCGAGGAGTGGCTGGTGGGTTTGAACCGCCAGTCTTCTGGTTAGCAGTCAAGTGCCTTAGCCACTATGCTACCAGAGCTCCCTAAACTAGCTACTATATATAAATAAACTAATACTCTGAAAGGAAGAGAAGGGGTCAGGGTAAGGCATCACTGCAACAGTCTGAAAAGCCACAGTGACCTGACAGATCAAGGACATGCACTGTGGGTCAGGGCTGGGGAAGACTGTGGAGGCTAAACACTCATGTGGGCTGTAAATATGGCTCATTATAGCAACGGAAACCAGCCCTTTTGTCCTTGCTGCAAAGAAACTCAAATCTCTCTGCCTTCCACACTTTTCATTTCCGCCCTGTCCTCTTGCCTACTATAATCTTAAGATGTGTGCATTTTACTGCCCATGTTCCTATTTGCTTACTGGATACTACAAATCAACAGAGATGACAATTTGTTTAAACTATTCATATCAAAACATAAAACTTAAAGGATTAACAATGTGATTTATTTTAATTTCAGTATATTACATTAGCATACAAAGAATCTGTATATTTAAAAAGTAACTCTGCTGCCATAAGAGATCAAGCTGGAGTTCAAGGACTGGAGGCAGATTTCCTCCATCCCAGCACTGAATGGAAACAGAGAGTCTTCTGCACTACTGCACGTTAACATCCACAGATGGGCTGTGGCCTTATCTATTACCTCCTCAACCTCTATCTCAACTGTTAGCTCTCTCAGTCGAATGCCAATGAACAAACATCATCTCTACTGATTCTACCAGGAGATTACAAAGGAATGATTGCTTTAAAATGAGCTAGAGAATTCATATTGTTGGTGGGTGAGATCTGGGGAAAAAGTATAATCCCAGGCCTTCCCCTACCCCCCTTCTACAGAAGTGCATTGCTGGCTCTTAAAGATTCACAGAAATTTGCTATAAGGAAAATCACAACTTTCTTGATTAGTATCTAAAAGGCACTTATGCACATTCTCAATTAGGAAGATGATTGTGAGCTAAAGAGTAACTGTGAACCACTCTCATATCCTGAATGACCAAAATTCTGGACTTAAAATGGTATTCAGTTGGGCTGCTCTATCAAAGAGCCGATTCTCATATCATTCCACAAAACATGGCCATGTGGGTGGGGTTCACTGCAGCCTTTCAGAAAACAGACTCCACGTCGCCCATCTCCACGCACACAGTCTTTAGTTGTGAATAATACTCAATTGTCACACGACCATTTTCTCTGCCAAATCCTGAAAGGAAGAGAAAGGGACAGCGTGAGCCACCACTACAACAGTCTGGAAAGTCACAATCTTTCAAGGACAGGCACTGCTTATCAGGGCTGGGAAAAACACAGAACCTGAGAATTCAGGGATAATATACTCAATTCATATATTAACCGTGGATTAAACAACACTTGTTGTTGCTTTTAGGTGCCGTTAAGTCGGCTCTGACCTATAGCGACCCTATGTGCAACAGAACAAAACACTTACCGGTCATGCATCCTCACAATCCTTGCTATATTGAGCCCACCACTTCAGCCACTGTGTCAACCCATCTTGTTGAGGGTGTTCCTGTACAGATACCACCTCAGAAACCCAAGGAGGGGTTGCTGTGAGTTGAAATCGACCTAATGGCAGTGAGTTTAGAGTGATACTTTACCAAGCATGGTATCCTTCTCCAGGAAATGGTCCCTTCTAAATAACCCTTAGCAATATAACATTTTATTAATATATAACTAAGGGTTATATATTAATAAAATGGAAATAATCATGGAAAAAATGACTCAGTGGCCTTTAAGGATAGAGATGAAAAATATAGGTCTCATTACTTATCAATATGAATCTTATTAGTCTTAATAGACTCTACTCAACAGTTTCTACTATTCTGGTTTGAGGCCTGAAAAATGTTCAGACCTATCAAGCATTAAAGTAGGCACTACAATAATCAACCTGACATCCCTGAAAGTTGGTGCTAACTTAAAACTTAACTCTCCATAACAGGTTTATATATTAACCTCTTTACAACCTGCCCACCCACGTGGGGGAGTGGAGTCCCTCTGATTACTCAAGTCCAAGACACTGCCCAGCACTAGTGGATGAGTTAAGTCCATGTTTGGCCTTTCTCATGCACCCTGCCTCAGGCTTCAGTAGGCTCTGCCTCCTAACAGCAAGGCCCAGGTCCCCAAAAATGTGTATCTCCAGGGAGTACCATTCAGAAGGTAAGGTGCACAACAGTCCTGCAAGGACTGCTGTGTCTCTTGTTCCTTCACCACCTCTCTCACCACCAGGTTGGTTGGGCGTAACAGGCCAGCTGCTGCTCTGCAGATCTGGTCATCTTCATGCTTCTCTCTCAGCCCCTGTAAGTATGCCTGTGCTCGCTGGCTCAGAGATTTAGATTTAGGGAAGAGGAAGCTAGCTTAGGAGATCACACTAAGGCCTTGAGTCTAAACTCCTTATTCCAAACCAACTTTTCCCTGCACTGAGGGTTATAAATAAAATGATTCCCTGGTCCCCACTATGCATTTGTGTCTGTGGGTACAGTGCCTCTGAGGGATGGGGATGATTAGTGGAGTATGATTAGGGAATGCCAAGATAATACCAAACTAATCCTGTCAAATTACCAGCATAATCTCATCAGGGTTTATATGTTTGCCAATGCTATGAGGGACATAAACATTTGCCAAAGAGACAAAGAGTTGAGACTCTTAGACTGGGGCCTCCAGAAAGTCTGAACCAATTTGCAGTCTAAATAAAGAAGGGAATGGGGAAGTAATACATAATACAGGCCAAAAACTCCAAAGAACAAACCTTGAGGTAATAACTATATTTCTAGTGCCTCAAGCGTGTTCTTCCCACACTAACTTATAAATTTGCCATGTTACAGTAACGTATGTCTAATTACACAAATGAAATGAATGTACAGTGGCTTACAGAAAAGCTTCATATATTGCCATCAAGTATAATGACAATGACTATAATTGACTGAAAAATATTAGACGAGGAGATTTTTATTAATTTAGAATAGAGAAAACAAATTAATACAAGAATTTGAAATATCACTTTAGAGATACTTTACCCAAACTGAATCTAGAAACTCAAGAATGGATTATGATGAAACTTTATGCTTACAGGGATCACAGACTACAAAGAAAAAGGTAATTCTACCAAAAGATAAACTTTTTTTATATATGTATATTAGCAGTTCACACATTATCCAAACCTTATGAAGTTTTTTTTGGGGAAAAAAAAGATACTTGCTTTTTGTTGCCAGAAACTGATGCAGTGTGTCTGGGGATGACTGAGAATCTATTTATGCAGTCCCCAGTCATTGTGATGCACAGACAGGTTTCAGAACACTGGTCTATGGTGACTGAGGTATGGCCCGCATCCCTAGAGACCTGGGTCTGCTTTTCCAGTTCTGATTCTCTGGCTCCTCACCTGACTTCTTATATCCACCAAAGGGCAATTCCACTGGGCTGACATTATAGTTGTTGATGAAGCACATTCCAGCCTGAAGCTCAGCCACTACACGATGAGCCCGCTGGATGTCCCTAAGAAGTTTAAAAAACAGAAAGAAAGTTGATTATTCATAGTTTCCTATGGTACTACTTTAATAGAAAAAGTTAGATTGCCTATTTCAAGGGTCCCATTCTTGTTCCTTTAAAATACATTTTTTAATCTTTTATCATCCAAGCAAAATAGACATGGATTGGGGTTTTATAGTCTCATCCAAAAGGCATCTATAAAATAAGTAGCATCAACAAGGATGCCCAAACAACCCAAAGGGGAAGGCAGCTGCTGGCTGCTGAGGCTGAGAAGCCCCAAGGTTGACAAGTAAAAAGGCACAGTCCTGATGTTACCAAACCACAGGGCAGACCATTAACTTAAGTCCATTGTAAGTCCCAAGGTTGGCAGAGCACAGCAGGCTGCTGAGCAACAACGTGGCTACATGGAGGGTCCAAGCGTGCCACAGGCTAGAGACCATTCCCCAAGGCTTCTCCTTATATACAGGAAGCAGTGGATGGCTAAATTCATCCCAAAGGCAGCTACTCAGCTGTTTTTGGTAGATCCCACCATGGAGTTGATTGCCAGTCATGGGGAATAACTACCACCAGCTGCCCAGCCATTCAACCAGGCCCATCCAAGTTAACACACAAACATAACTACACCACAACCATACACAAAAATTAACTCAAATGCATCACAGTACTATAATTTAACAGCTAAAAATTCAAAACCCTTCAAAGACCACATAATAAATCTTCATGACCTTGGGTTAGCAATGCCTTCTTAGATATAACACTAAAAGCACAACAGACAAAAGAAAAACAAAATAATTGAACTTCAAAATTAAAAACTTTGTACTGCAAATCAGACTATCAAGAAAGTGAAAAGACAAGCCACAGACATGTAAATCAAAACCACAATGCAATACCACTTCACACCCAGTCCAATGCACTGCCATCAAATCAATTCCAACTCATAGTAACCCTACAGGAGAGGGCAGAACTGTCCCATAGGGTTTTCAAGGTTGTAACCATTACGGAAGCAGACTGCTACATCTTCCTCCTGAGGATCCTCCTGGTGGGTTTGAACCTCTGACCTTTCATTTAGAGCTGAGCTCTTAACTACTGTGCCACCAGGGCCACTTTCACACTCAGTGGATGGCTAAATTCAAAAATACAGACATAACAACTGCTGGTGGGGATGTGGAGAAATTAGAACTCTCTTGTATTGCTGGTAGGAATGTAAAATGGCACTGTTGTTGTTGTTGTTATGTGCCGCTGAGTCAGCCCTGACTCATGGCGACTCCTCCTTGGGTTTCCGAGGCAGGATCACTACGGAAGTAGGACTGCCCAACCTTCCTTCCGAGGAGTGGCTGGTGGGTTTGAACCGCCAGCCTTCTGGTTAGCAGTCAAGTGCTTTAGACACTATGCTACCAGAGCTCCTAAAATGGCACTAACACTTCAGAAAACAATTTGGCAGTTCACCAAAAAGTTAAACAGAGTTAGTTACTAGATGACCCAGCCAATTCCTCACCTAGCTATATATCCAAGAGAAAGGAAAATACATGGCCACACAACAACTTCTACACCAATGTACAAACAGCAACATTATTCCTACTAGCCAACAGTGGAAACCACCCAAATATCAACAAATGAGTAAATGAACAAAACGTGGTATATCTATACAAAGGAAAGAAGAAATGAAGTACTGATGCATGCTACATTAGGCTAAGTGAAAGAAGCCAGTCACAAAAGACCACACATTGCATGACTATATTTATGTAAAGTGTTGGAAGAGTCAAATCCATAGAAACAGAAGTAGATTAGTGGTTGACAGGGCTGAGAGGCAGAGAAAGTGAGGAACAGCTGCTAATGGGCAGAAGTCTTCTTTTGGAGATGATGAAAATGTTCTAAAATTAGATTATGCTGCACAACTCTGTGAATACACTAAAAACCAAAAACTGTATTTTAAATGAGTAAAATGTACTGTATGTGAATTATCCCAAAAAAGCTGTTAAGAAAAAAAGGTGCAGCAGATCTGACTTGTGCTCCTTTGTAACTGGACTTGGGACTGGGATAACGAAGCAGAGCAAGAGAAGAGACCTAACACACTCAATCCTCAACTCAAACAGCACCTTCTCAACCTTTTACTCACCCCTCAAAGAAAAGCTGTTAGATCAGGTCCTCAAGGTAGATTTGAACCTTCCTTGCCAGGTCCTGACTGTGAGCTACAAAAAAATCTAACCTGCGTATCATCAAAGAAAAAAGCACAATCACAAGAGTAAAGCAGCCTTGGAAAACTACCTACTGGAGACTAATCTAAGTTTGTACATAACCAAGCAAACTGCAAATCATTTTCAAAGAAATTTTGCTCCCAAATTATTTACTTGTATTATGTTTGTTGGTGGTGTTGTTAGGTGCCAGCGAGTTGGCTCAGACTCATAGTGGCCATAAGTACAACAGAATGAAATACTGCCCGGCCCTGTGCCAGCCTCACAATTCTTGCTATACCTGAGCCCATCGCTGCAGCCACTGTCAATCCATCTTGTTGAAGCCCTCTGCATTTTTACCAAGCATGATATCCTTCTCCAGGCAATGGTCCCTTCTAACAACATGACCAAAGTAGGTCAAAGTCTAGCCATTCTCACTTCCAAGGAGCATTCTGGCTGTACTTCTTCCAGGACAGATCTATTAGTTTTTCTGGCAGTCCATGGTACTTTCACTATTCTTCGCCAACACCACAACTCAAAAACATCAACTCTTCTTCAGTCTTCCTTATTCATGGTTCAGCTTTCACATGCATATGAGGCAACTGAAAGCCTCATAACTTGGGTTAGATGCACCTTAGTCTTCAAAGAGATATCTTCGCTTTTCGGTACTTTAAAGAGATCTTTTGAAGCAGATATGCCCAGTGCAATACATTGTCTGATTTCTTGACTGCTACTTCCGTTGGTATTGATGATGGAACCAAGTAATATAAAATCTTTTCTCCATTTATCGTGATGCTGCTTATTGGTCCAGTTGTAAGGATTTTTGTTTTCTTTATGCTTAGGTGTAATGCATACCATAGAGTGTAGCCTTTAATCTTCATCAGTAAGTGCTTCAAGTCACCTTAACTTTCAGTAACCAAGGTTGTGTCATAAGCATATCGCAGGCTGTTAATGATTCTTCCTCCATCCTGATGCCACATTCTTCTTCCAGCTTCTCGGATTATTTGCTCAGCATACAGATTGAGTAAGTGTGATGAAAGGATACAACCCTGATGCACTCCCTTCCTGATTTTAAACCATGCAGTATCCCCTTCTTCTGTTGAAACAACAGCCTCCAGGTCTATATACAGGTTCCTCATGAGCACAATTAAATGTTCTGGAATTCCCATACTTCTCAATGTTATCCACAATTTGTTATAATCCACAGAGTCAAATGCTTTTGCATAGTCAATAAAACACAAGTAAACATCTCTCTGGTATTCTTTGCTTTCAGCCAAGATCCATCTGACATCTGCAATGATATCCCTCTTTCCTCATCCTCTTCTGAATCCAGCTTGCATTTCTGGTAGTTCCCTGTCAATATACTGCTGCAACCATTTTTCAATTATCTTCAGCAAGATTTTACTTCCATGTGATATCAATGACATTGTTTGATACATTTCCACATTCTGTGGGATCACCTTTCTTTGGAATGGGTATGAATACAGACCTCTTCCAGTTAGTTGGCCAGGTACCTGTCTTCCAAACCTCTTGGCATAGTCAAGTGAGTGCCTCCAGCATGACATCTGTTTGTTGAAACATCTCAATGGGTATTCTATCAATTCCTGGGGCTTTGTTTGTTGCCAATTCCTTCAGTGCAGCTTTGACTTCTTCCTTCGATACCATTGGTTCTTGATCATATGCCACCTCCTGAAATGGATGAACATCAACCAATTCTTGTTGGTACAGTGACCCTGTTTATTCCTTCTATCTTCTTTTGATGTTTCCTGCATCATTCAATATTTTCCCCATAGAATCTTTCAATATTTCAACTCGAAGCTTGAATTTTTCTTCAGTTCTTTCAGCTTGCGAAATGCCAAGTATATTCTTCTCTTTTGTTCTCTAATGTCAGATCTTTGCACATTTCATTAAAATAATTCACAAAGAGATGCTCTTTGAAATCTTCTGTTCGGCTCTTTTCTCTCGCTATTTCTTCCATTTGCTTTAGCTACTCTCTGTCTAAGAGCAAGTTTCAGAGTCTCGTCTGACATCCATTTTGGTCTCTTCTTCCTCTCCTGTCTTTTTAATGACCTCCTGCTTTCTTCATGGATGATGTTCTTGATGTCATCTCACAATTCCTCTGGTTTTCAGTCACTGGTGTTTAATGTGTCAAATGTATTCTTTAGATGGCCTCTAAACTCAGGAAAGATATAATCAAGGTCATATTTTGGCTCTCCTGGACTTGTTATAATTGTCTTTAGCTTCTACTTGAACTTCCAAATGAGAAGTTGATCTGTTCCACAGTCAACTCCTGGCCTTGTTTTGTCTGAAATATTGAACTTCTCCATTGTCTGTTTCCACAGATGTAGTTGATCTGATTCCTGTGTATTCCATCTGGCAAAGTCCACGTATATAGCTGCCACTTATGTTGTTGAAGAAAGGTATTTGCAATGAATGAGTCATTGGTTTTGTAAAATTCGTATCACGTGATCTCCAGCATCATTTCTATCACCAACGTTCCTAATTTTCCAACTACTGGTGGTGCTTGTTTCCAACTTTTGCATTCCAGTCACCAGTAATAATCAATACATCTTGATTGCAATGTTTGGCCAATTTCAGACTGCAGAAGTTGGTAAAAATCTTCAATTTCTTCATCTTTGGCTTTGGTGGTTGGTGTATAAATTTGAATAACAATACTATTAGCTGTTCTTCCTTGTAGGCGTATTGATATTATTCTGTCACTGACAGCACTGTACTTTAGGATAGATCTTGAAACATTCTGTGATGGTGAATGCCACACAATTCCTCTGCAATTTGTCATTCCTGGCACAGATCATATGGCTGTCTGATTCAAAA